AGTAGGAGTACTAAAAATTGATAAAATAAAATAAAACTGGGAGGCACTACTGCAAACATGCTCCATTCTATCCTAAATTGTAAAGAATATCTCTCAGATCAAATACTAGTTTGCAGTATGTTTTATCCATGATTAATGTTTCAGCAGAGCTATAAAATTCTATAATCTAACGGTTTTACATATTATTGTAAAATATAAGGTTTCTCATGGCACTCAATCACCTCAAGAGGAAAACTCACTTGAATAGACGAGCCCACAAGATAAACAACTCTCATCTAATATTAGTATTATGCCCTCTGTAACAGAAAAACAAAAGATAGCTTAACCCCTTACTGGACAAAATATAATGTAAGTCTAATTATAAAACTTAAAAGTAGTATTTCATTTCTTGCATTATAATCCTGCATAGTCCAATGGGGAATTGAAGCATCAGTATAATCTAAAATTGTTCTGACAACTGTATGTTTTCATCAACTCTTTAAAAAATCCTAGCCATCTGTTCACGTTCTGCCATTTTAATTGCCTCACCTTGCATCGTTTTTTGCTGTCTAACTTATTTTATTTCTTCAACTCTCTAGATTTGGCCTAAGATTCCTAGGAAAAAGATTGCCCATGAAAACCCCATAATATTAGGTAGCCCTATATTATATGCCTATTAATCAATACATCCCATAAAATTCAGGAGACCTTAGTTCTATGTAGCACCACAAAATCCAGATTGAACTGTAAATATGTTTCCTGTTGCAAGCATCATAGATCAGTACCTTGGACAGCTACATTGCTGTGTGGGGTTCTCAATATTTGGGACTTTTGAAATGTTGAGAACACATGCAGAATGGCTACTAACGGACATTTGTTTCATTATAGAATTGAGAGCAGAGTGCTAAACATATCACTGAGTTTATGCCATTCATTAGTTTTATTTGCTAAGACTGACAGTTGGGATAATTTGGAGCCAGCGGCAAACATAAATATGGAACTGTAAGTTCTAGTATCTTGCTTTCTAACATATTCACTTTCTGATATGTTGGGTTTCTGTATCAACTTTCTATATGGTTTCAGTAAGAAGCCAACATCAGTTCAAAGTACATGGGGTTTTTTTGTGGGGGGGGGGAGGAGGTTTAATGACAAATGGTTATCCAGTATATATCCTTCAGAATCATAGACTTTGGACACATTATCTGAATGATTTGCCTTAACTTGATTTTAAACATGCATGTGTAAATACAATTAAGAAGAAGGGAGAAAGAGACACGAGCTGCACTATTTTAGTCCAGGAGTGGGCAACCTGAGTTTCTTCAGCTTTGATGAACTTCAATTCCCAGCATCCCTTTGGACTGAGCAAATGGACGAGGAGATCCCGATTTCAGTCAACGTAGATTGCTTGTCGCCTCCCCGGTTTAATTATATACAGGTGAAAACTCCTCCAAACTTTTTCCTGCAACTAATTGTCGTGTAATTTTGTAATAAAATGAAGAGAAAGCTCAATTGCTAGTACCCCTGTAGGCAGCAATATGGAAGATAATTCTCTTCTTGCACACTTCCAGGACTTAAAAAGATACGCGTCGGCCTAACCTCAAAACCGTAATCCCATGGAATTCCTTGTGGCCTGACGCAGGTTTTTTTGGGTGGTGGTGGTGGTGGTGGTGGTGGTAAAAGAACTAACAAGATGCGGTAGGTGTTACCACATTGCTCCAAGCTAATTTTTAAGTAGTATGCTTAAAACCGTAGTCTTCCAACTTGATCCTCCCAGTCTGTCGGATTGTGTCATGCGTGATCTTCTCAAGCTCTCTCTTTAAGTAACCCCCCTTCTTCCCTATGGCCCTCCCCTTTCTCTTTCTCTCGCTCTCTTTCTCTCGCTCGCTTGCTATCTCTCTCTCTCGACTCGGCCTCGTTTCTCTCCTTCTTACAGTTGTGTTCTTGAATTGCCTCCGCATCAGGATTCTTTGAACCAGCCATCATGGCTGACATGAAAACGGGCATCTTTGCGAAAAATGTCCAAAAGAGGCTGAACAGGGCACAGGAAAAGGTAAGCGAAGACGCAGCAATTGCTAGACAAAAAGCTGAGTCTGTGTGCTTTGGGATTTCACGGCTTTGGGGAGGAAGCGTAGAGGTGCGATGGGAAGGGGGGAACCTTGCAACAGATCCTTCAATAAACTCGTGGGACAGAGATCAGAACCCCTCGGATCCATCTGAAAAGAGCTGCACAACCAAGCTGAGGCAGAAGACGTGCAGCGCTGCCACGGCGTTGCAAATGCAAACGCTAAGCGCTTCAATCGCGATTTCGGGCAAGGCAGCGTCTGCGGGTATCGGCGTGGATCAACGTCTGGCTTTCTATAGCTGCGCTGCCGCCTAGCCCGATCCGTTTTCTCTAGACTGGTTTGCACAAAGGGCATTATCTGTATGACTTGGAGCTCTTACAAGATGGGGTGGAAGGCCGGTAGAGCGAGCGACAAACAAGTGTCTGAATTAATCAGAAGGGCACGGGCATTTTAAGTGCTGTATCGAATCCTTCCCTGCGGGAAACCGAAAGGAGATATTCAAGGCTGTCTGACCTGTGTTGCCCCATTTGCCTCAATGCCTTGCAGGGCAGTAAATGGTGGCGTTGTTTGTCTTTCCGCATTTAAAAAAAAAATAATATCAGGGGAATCGCCGTGCACCATCAAAACCGCGCTCCCTGCTCGCGTTTCTCACTTTGGAAAAATGGTTGAATTCCGGCTCAGTGGACTGGGGAGCTGCGGCACAGAATCTTGGTAAAGAGATGGTGGACTGCGGAAAGATGCCTCCCTCCCCAAGGAACTTTTGGTTAATACCAAGTCTATAATTACCATGATGTTTTCTTCCTCCCTCTTCGGTTGGCAAGCTGCCCTCATCAATGGTGTTATATAATATCTCTTGGCCCAATGAATAATTACCATCTTCATGAAGCCCTTTTAATCAGAGGAAAGATATAGGGCAGAGTTAGATTCAGGCTGCCTTCTACCTTCTCTTCTATCATTAACCCAATAATTATGTATTATTTCCTAGCACAAAAAATCAAACAGTTGCAGGCGATGTGCTGTTTTGCCTGGGCCAAAGGTTTTGCTTTTGGGATTAGCTTGCTCAGAGTCAAAAACTGTTTGCCAAGAGATAGTGGCTCCAGATTTTTGCAGCTTCTTGGCTAATGAAAGAACCTGCATAATCTGTGAGCTATTTGTGTGCTCCATACAAAACACTAGAGTTTTGATCCTTTTCATTGAATAATAAGGCTCCTACAGATGTGTGACTTCACTACTTTCTGGAGATAGTCTTGCTAAAACCATCTAATTTCTGTATTTGGGAAAGACATTAGGTCCCTCAGTCTTATACTTCCCACTTTCCTTTTCCCGCATTCTGGTGCTTTGTTAATACTGCAGCTGCTATCAAAGGATCATAGGTCTCTTGGTAACCTGCAGCTTGGAAGGAAAATTAGAACCATAGTTCTCTCTGCATAAAGATTTGGTTTTCTCTAAGCCCCATCTTTATGTGCCCATTTCACTAGATTATAAGAGGATTGTGTTTCTTTTAATAACTGCCCAGGCTTAGTGTAAAGTTATTTGATCTCCTGTCTGCATTCATCTGAAGAGTAAAGCAACTTTAATCAGAGTGGCCGTCTCCAAATGGCTTCTGTCAATGGCCACCAAACACCCCCTATTCCAGTGTTTTATCAGAAACTCTTGCCACATTTTTATTTAAGATTCAGAGTTCCAGCTGTTTAAAATATGTTAAAAGGAAACAAAGTCCATATTGCTCAGATTCCTGATGATTTGCAGCTGAATCTGGAGGTCAATTCTAATTCTCAGGAAGGGAGGCCCAATAGAGACAAATAAGAGATGATACAAATAGGGTAGAAGATTCTGGTAGCAACATAAGATGGAAGAATGTGTGAGTTTTGGGCTTAAATTCAGGGAAATCAACTTTTCATGTCTTGCCATATTTAAAAGCAGTGCTTTTTCCCTTAGTAAGACAGGATAGTTTCTGAGGTCTGAATTAAATTGCTCAGATATATGGCGACTGAATAACTGCATAGTTATTGGAATACATTTTGAAATCTGTCAATATCAATATTTTAAAAAATGATGCTTGTTTAAAAGCTATCAAACCCCACAAAATGAGAGTGTTAAAACCCTCACCTTGCCTCACAATTGTCTCTAAGACTGTTAAGATTAATCTTCAAATAGGTTGTTTGAATTCTAATGTGTGGGGGTCCACAATGTAATTCTTTTTAACTCCAAACTATTAAATATTAATATATAGTTAATGTTGATTATTTCATATTGGATCGGCAATTTGGTTTAGGTAAATATTAGGTAAATATGCTTCATAAACAAGGAAAATCAAGCCACCATCCACATATTAGATTGGTCATGTGAACGCTTGGTTACTTTAATCACTTAGGCCTCGACATTCAATTACTGACATCTTTAGAGAAGGCTGGAGGGCTACTACCAGTAAATAAATGAACAAATATAAACATTCCTGCATTCAATTCAAATGATAGTTGATTGGATCCAAGATCTATGGAAATCAATGGGAAATTAGTGTGACATTGTTTTCACTGATCTATTAATAGCAAACTTAAATCATATTTGCAGGTTTCATAGATCAGGCTAAGCTAATCATGATTTGTTGACTGAACTGTAACAACCTAGTTCCCACATAATGCTAATTGTGACATTCTAGATTTAAAACCAAACAAACCACATTATGGCTGTGTGTACAGGTAGGCATGTGTGCATATATTGTTATGAGTAAGATATCCAGAAATTATGTAGAGCTTGTTGATAGAGCTTGTTTAAGATTTGTTTTGTAACTTGTTTTTTAGTTGAGTGATTGAATTTCCAACTTGTTTATTCATTTTCTATTTGGTTTTTTTTTTTTTTTTTTNAATTATCCTCTGAATAACCTGTAAATCTCTCCAAATAAATTCAAAGCTCCTGGAAATATTTGATACAATATTTCAAAACAATTTGAAAATCTGAGTCAAATCTTCTTTGAATCAAATAATTCATTCAGAATTGTATATACGTTTATCAGACAGTTAATGTGAGATATTAAGCATTGTTAATGAGAGATTCATACTTGCAACCTAAGTTACAAAGCAAAACTAAAAATCGAACAAAGGTAGAAAACATATTTTTATGTAATGTTGTAGGCAGCACAGATGGCTACATCCCAAAATATAAAAAACTGAAAAATAGCTGTGCATTTTTAAAAACAAAGACAGTATCATGACACTTTAATATATTTGTTCTGACACAAATTACATCACATATCACATTTTATGGTTCTCAAAGATTGGAAATATAACAGTATTAGAGTTATGTATTCGATGGTCACTGGGAATATTCAGTGTTAGGGCTATATGTTATAAATGGTGAGCTCATAAAATATCATACTGTAACTTATTTGCAAATAATAATCTGAAGTCCCTAGGAAGAACTTGATAGGTAGATAGCAATGCCAAATCCAATCTTGGAAAAGACTCGCTTGGTGGATAAACATGCCAGTCCAGTCTAAACATATACTGACCCCAGAATTCCTCCTTCCCTTGCTTAGCTGCTATCGCCGGGGTGCTGCCAGGACAAGCGAGGTCTTGGGAGGGACCTTCTCTCCCCCTCCAGAGAGCCTATGCTGGGAGAGAGGAGGTGGACTGGTTTGAATGTGGGCGAGCGGGTGGTTTAGTGGCCAGTGCCTCCTTCACTCGTTCGGGCAGGCATAGAAAGAAAAGAGGTGTCCGATAGCCAAGGGCGAAGATGCTCCCCCTTGCCCTTGGTGGCAGGGGTACTTTAGTGCATGCCTCCTTTCTCCTACCCGAATGAGTGAAGGAGACACTGGCCGCTAAACTGCCCGCTCGCCCACATTCAAACCAGCCGGCCTCCTCTCTGCTGGCATGGGCTCTCTGGAGGGGGAGGGAAGTCCCTCCCAAGACCCACTTCTTTCCTTCCCTCTTGCAGCATCAATCCATAAGGGGAGGGCACAGACCGTTCAGCGGTGACAGGGAAATGGAGGCTTATTTGCTAGCCTCCCAGCTGGCAAAACACATTTTCATAGCGGCAGCTGAAGCACAATCCTGGGCAGTCGGTTCCAGCTTTCTCTTCCCCAAGCAATCCGTAGGGGGGAGCACAGACCATTTGGTGGCAACTGGGAAATGGATGCCTTTTGCCAGTTGACAAAACAGAAATTTTCACAGCAGCAGCTGAACCACAATCCCAGACAGTCAGTTCCGGCTCTCCCTTCCCCAAGCATGTCCCATTGCTGCTGGTTCTGCTTTTGGTGAATCCAGCATGGCGGCTATGGCAAGAAGCGGCTGCCAGCGATGGCAAGAGCCCCGCCGTCATGGCAGATTAATCAAAAGCAGTGTCAGCAAAGGAAGTGGGTGGTGGGGCAAGCATGGTGCAGACTGTTGAGGACTCAGAAAGTCCTCGACTTATGACCTGGCGGCTAGGAACAAGCCAGGCGGCGCCCTGATTGGCTGAGGTGCGACATCGCTTATTGCTAGCCACTGGGGGCATGCTAATTGGCTATCCCTGCTTGACAGCTCCGTTTAAATAGCTGTCAAGTAGGGAGAGTGCTGAATCGCCTGTAAATAGTTGCTTTTGAATAAAAAGCTGCTTGACAGTCCTGGCTTCCGTCTTATCTTCCGTTGATCCTCAAAACTGGCAACGAGGATGGGATACTGGTGATTCCAATAATCAGCGCCTAGGACAAACGAGAGTGCAATCAGTCGTGAAGCCACTCAAACTGCGGAGATCCGCCGGCTCTTTAATACGAACAATTTTTTCCCCTCATCGCACGTCGCTACCTGAGAGATGGCAGCGCTTCCACCATTCGCCCCTTTTGGAACCTCCGGCGAGTCGTGGGCCGGGTTCCTCAAGTGCTTTGAGTGCTACCTCATAGCCTCAAAGAATCATAACCTGCCACCGGAGGAAAAGTGCAGCTTCTTCCTCTGCTGCTGCAGCCTGGCTATGTTCACCTCAGCAAGGGCCCTGGCCTCTCCTCGGCTGGTTT